AAAGCTGTGCAAATGTATATATCTTTCAGGAAAACAAACTTTGCGTTGCCTGGGATTCGTTTATTGCGTCTTATTGCGCGTGCGCCAGAATTCTTTGCATACAGTTTGTCGTAGGCTAAAACAAGGCTACCACATTGCAATTCAAATTCTTTTCCTTCGTAACATGATAACCTCGTCACACTGGTAAGAAAGCAAATGTAGGCGAGGAACGCGGCGAAGGGGAACAGTGGTTTGGGCGAAATTGCAGTGGGTATTACTACAATAATAAAACAGAAAAACAAAACAAAACAAACAAAAAAAATTGGCTACGCCCGTGACTCTCCCTAAAGTAAATAATGTCATTTAGTGAAAAGCAAATACAATGAAACCTCTATTAAGCGGACACCTTCGGGACCTTCTCAAGTGTTCGCTTAATAGAGGGTGTCCGCTTAACAGAGGTTTGTAAAAATTGCGCAATGTTTGTTAACGACGGCCAACTCGTACTTTCACTTGTTCCAGAGGCTTTGTAAATCTTCAGGTATCAGGTCGTCCCATCCCAGATTTAGCCTCCACGGCCTTTGCAAAATCTTCTTTGCTTCCAGAACAACCGGGTAAACAAATCCCATCAGGTCATACATCGAGCTTACTGCTGACAGAATTCCACGTTTAGTAGCTGGTTGGTGGGGTTCACGAACCTTGAATATAAGAAAGCATCTTTCTCCACATCTCACTGCACACCTAGTGCGCTTTCTACTGAGAGGTTCTCAAGATCTCAATCCAGGGTTGGCTTTGCACGATCCGCATCAGGTATCTTGCACAGCACCTCTCGACTGTTACTCATCTATTTCGTCAGTCTAAATCCGGCTTCGGTGAGTAAACAAGTCACTTCGCCAGCGAGCGAGCTTGCTTCAGTTACTGTCCTTATTGACTTCACCAAGTCATCTACTTAAAAATCCTTCTTAAGCGCACTTACAGCCTCATCACTACATCTTCTTTTACGGTCCTCTGCAGCTCTCTTTAGGCAAAAGTTTGCACAACTGGGTGAGTCTGTGGCAGCAAAGATATGACTTGTCATCTGAAATTCCGGGGGCCTCTCAAGGTCACTGTCCTCCCACCAAAGGAATCTCAAAGCATCAGAGTCCTCTGGGGGTACTTTGACTTGGTTAAACATTCCCTCTATATCAGCCACTAGTGCTATACGATTGTGTCTAAACCTCAGCAAAATAACAAGCAAACTGTTAGTTAAGTCGGGACTCTGGAGCAACTGGTTGTTGAGAGAAACTCCGTTGTGCAAAGAAGCCGCATCAAATATTACAAGAATTTTGCCCTGCTTTTGGGGGTGAAACACACGTGATGTGCCATAGCACCCCCTTTGGCTCTGTCGCATCGCCTCTTCTTCAGTCATCTTTCTGGCATATCCTTTCTGAATGACGTTCTCCAAAAACGCGCTATACTTTCTGTGAAAGTTCTAATCACGCTTGAGGTTTCTTTTCAAAGACTGTAGTCTTGCTTCTGCCGTCTGCTTGTTGTTTGGCAGCCAAGGGGTACACTCTTCCATAACATCCCAACTTCATAGTGTCCGCCTACTGCACAAACTGAGTTTTCCATTCTTTTTAGTGCTCCCTGGTCTTCAATTGACATTCCTTTCTTGGAACTCCTGTTCAAGTCCATGTTTTCTAGCCTTAGAAACTGTTTCATCTGCTGATCTGGCAACTCATCACCACACTTTACAGAATTTACATTTTTCGCTTGAGAGCACATAATACTTGTAGCATCAACCGGTCAAAGCACAGCCCAACCCAGTACAGTGCGAACAGCATACTGTTCTCCTGATCCCCTTCTCCTGCATTCTTCATGCACTTGGGCTTCAGGAACGTTTGCACCGATCAGCATGGCCACTTAGACAATTACTTGGCTCTTATTGTAGTGATGATGTTCAGATTGTCTACAACTTAAATGCTTTCAATTGCTAGGGTACGATTGTCCCGGCTATCAACAGCTTTCGCTTGAACATTGGCTTGACCAACTATAATTGAGGACTTGCCCGACAATGTGTATACAGCCAAAGCTAGTGTCACAGTTGCTACCTTGTAACCCAAGTTTATAACAAATAGCCTTGGAGAGAAATGTCTCTTCACTCCTAGTATCAAGCAGTGCATAAATAGTAACAGAGTCTCCTTCTTTCCTCATAAGGGACTTTAAGATCCAACGACGCGGACGGCAACGAGAACGTCAAAGAAACAATAGGTTTTATTAAAAAACAACAACTTTGCTCGTGCACCACGCTTTTTTGTACATTTCTCTGCCCGTTTTTGCATGACTGCGACGTGAACATGCCTAATTTCGCGTTTTATGGAGGACGTAAACAAGCAACGACGAAATTTTGTTTCTCTTTCTGCACTTGGATATGGTCCCTAGGAATTCAGCTCCAGGTGGGTTCGCCTACTTTTGAAAAAGTAAATGGGTAGGAATAATTTTGATAAAGACTGAAAGAACGCAAATTCACTTTTAAAGCGACGTTCTCATTGCCGTCGAGTCGTTGGATCTTAAAGTCTCTATTATCTTAAGTGGAATAACTTGTAATGCAACCTTAATCCTTGGGGTCGTGGAATACGTGCAACTTGGTCTTTCAACAGGTGCAGTTGTTACAGTATTCACATTTGCTTGCTCACTGGAACCTGGGCCTTCCTAAGGGTTCGCCAATGTTCCCTCTTTATCCTCTTCTGGTTTGTGCAATAAGGAATGATGTGGTTGTTGACAATGTTTACACTTAAAGGTTGACTGGCACTCACTAACAAAGTGTTGTACCTTGCGAAGACGATTCTCTGCCTTATAGATTTGTTTATAAAATCAGGACAGGGCTCAATCATATGTGCAGTCTCACGGCCATAACATTTCACTTTCAACGTTGTTGAATTTGAATCCTTATCTGATTTGGCTGGGTCACTAGGTCCAACTTGCACAGCCATTGTCGTTGTCTTGGGCCCGGCACCGCATTAAGACTCGGAGGCAACAGTTGTAGTCTGGCTCTTGGGTTTCTTCTTTGGAAGAATTGCTTCGTCTCCTCAACTCTTCTGACTGACTGGGTCATTAGCTGCTTCAGCACGCCTTTCAATAAACACCACTAGATCCTCAAGAGTTGGGAAACCTTTCCTTTCTCTAATTCTCAGAGCCTTATCTCTCCACTTAATCTGTAGCATAACAAGTAACTTCCCTGACATTTTCCCCAAATTTGACATGTTCATTTCTGACAGGGTATTAGGTGATCTTAAAGTCTCGTACAATGTCCTTGAGCAGTCAGCAAATTCCTGAAGCCCTTGTTCACCGTTGTTTGATATGTTTGGTCCATCAACTAAAACATCAACACATGCCTTTGCCACAATATACGGTTGTCCAAAACGTTACTGCAACATTTTTAGGGCCTTACCCAGCCCACCAGGCACTCCTTCCAAACCCGCCACAGCACTTCTAGCTGGGCCATCAAGAAACTGCAACAAACGCGACATTTTCGGAGCTTCTGAAATGTTCTGGGTGTCAACCATTTCGTCAAAATGCGATTTGAATCTGAAATATTCACAAGGATTATCACGAATTTGACTACATCCAAAGGAGGGAGACCAGATTGTCTATACTGGTTGTAAGCTTTTTGCCATCATACTCGCCGTTGCAGGTGTGGGAAACGATACACTACCAGGCCAGCAAACTCGATCGGGCAGTAAAGCTCTATTAATAAAAGGGGGTTCCTTCCGGATTCAGACTGCACTCCTTAACACTAGGCTCCGACATTGCTGCATCACCTGCGCTGCGCTAAATGATGAAACCGCCGCAGGTAGTGACTTCTCTGCCAGTGATGCCTGCAATTCTGTCTTCTCATACTTAACCTTGGGTTTATATTCCGCAACTTCCAGCTTTCTACCTCCGTCCATTGATTCCTTAATAATGCGTTTTGGTTCAATATTTTTTAGCGGTTACTCACAGTTTAGGTCTTGTACACTATTTGCTCTGCCAATAGAACCTCCAAGGGGATCTTCAAGCTTAGCTCCTCATAAAATTGAACCTTGGTTTTAGCCAATTCCACAGCATCCTCAGCTTCCTCAATTTGGTTTTCTAACTTTAACTGTTCTTCCTTTAATCTCCTTGCTTTAGCTCTTTTTAATTGTTCCACCCTTTTCTCAGAAAAAACTTTCTGTAACCTTGCATTTTTATGAGCAGCTGCACTCGATCTGGAAACATTAGACCCTTTTGAACGAACAGAGCAAGTACTTCGAACATCATCCTCGCGCTCAGATGGTGGTACGCTAGCTGAAAGTACTTATTGGTAAGTTGCATCTTGTCATTATCCGCCATATTGTCTCCTGTCTTGGAAACATTTGCAATCCCTTCTTCAGAAGCGAGGTATTGGTCTATTAACTCAAGATATAAGCGGTAGTTTCGGCTCTGTTCAGCATAACGATTCTCCTCACATATTCTTTCACTCTCGTGCAATAACTGGATCAAATCATAGTACATACGCGAATATCAGGGGCACCCAACGACGGTTTCCTCCAAAATACGTTAATTTTTTTTAGGCTATCCAGAGTACTCTTATCCTCCCACGCAGAAGTTCTTAGGGGTTCGTCAAGCGTTCCTGATCCTCTTCGCGTGACGAACCCCTAAGACCGTTTGCGTGGGAGGCTAGAGTACTCTTAGATCTCTAGAAATGCATTCTAAGCGGCGCTACAAAAATTTTATCTGTTCGGTCATCCTAGGGGAACTTAAGCCTGATCGAAATTACAGGGGCTTCAGTCTTATTTTTCCGAAAATTTTAGGTGCAATTTAGCATTTTACGAAAGTGAGAATTTTTCTGATTCCTCTCTCCTTCACATTTTAGAATCCGAAAATTTTAGGTTTCCTTTTTCTAGGAAAAACAGTTGAACCTGGTTAGTAAAGTAGGAAAAGTAAAACTTCAGAAAATCTTAGGGAATTTTTAGTCGTTAGAAATATTTAGCGGTCCTCAAGCAAGAGAAAATTCTAGACAATAGTTGCTTCTCCGAACAGCTATTTTACAGAAAACAGTCGTTGGGTACCCCTTGGATATCGTTTCCACTGATGACCTAAGCGATGCGAGTCTTCGCGAACTTCAATGGCAAATTTTTGATCTATCAAATACTCATCAAGTCTACGATAAATCTTTGTTAACTCTCCAAGATGGCCAGCTTTCGATTTCTTCAACGCAACAATTCTTTCAGAAACAGCCGAATTATCGGCAGCTGCGATTTAACGCCCTTCTGCTTTTAACAATGTCAATACCACGCTTTCCCTGCTGGCTTTCTGCCATCTCACGTTTATAACATGACAGGCATGCAAATGTTACAAATACAAATGTACCTCCAAACAGCATATATCTCCGTAAGTAACTCTTGATTCAACCTCGTTGTCTCACAAAAATTTTGAGGAAAATGTGATGTACTTCGACGAGAATATCACACACTCGGTACAAATGTCTAGTCCACGCTTCAGGGGCACCCAACGAGGAAATAGTTCAAAACCACTTTGTAGTATTGTTAAACGTAATTTAGTATTTAAACGGTAGATGTAGGCCTATTTTTATCCCCTAAAAATTTTTCATCTGTCCGGATTCCCTAGCTGAAAGTCTAGTGATCCGAAAATTATAGGGATCAAAACTGACCTTTTCGAAAATTTCCGCCAGAAAAAAGGCTCCCGAAAATTCCAGGTGACCTTTTTAGGGTAAAAATCCGTAAAAACCGAGCAATTATATCATTTTTTAGATGTTCGAAAATGCTAGCAGAGGTAGGCAAGCCAGAAATTTTACAACAAATGTTCCGAAAATTCTAGATCTGAAATCGTCTTCCTAACAGATATTTCCCGAAAATTGACGTTGGGTGCCCCTGAAGCGTCGTTTGTAATTGAAAATCAATGGAACTCTTGATCTTGTTTAATCCACTGTTTCCTTTCACCGCTCCTTCAAGAGCATACACAAATACATCGACGATACTCGATACTTGAAAAATTGTTTATGCAACCGCATCAAACTGAGCTATCAAGCTACAAAAGGGAAAATACAACCCACGCGAAAACCTCAGGCTCAACATTTTGCGACCGACTGACCATGGACCACAACTTAGTCACGTGCTCGAAAACAAAAATACGACAACATAATTAAGATTCGCGGGAAAAAGACACGACAGATAGAAAATACCGAGGCGGATGTATTCATTGGTCAGTTATTTCTGTAAGTAAAGATAAAATAAACCAAACACTGAAATAAAATATACAAAGCCATCAAAAAAATTTAGCTCCCCATCCTGACTCCGGCAACCACCTCTCTCTGCCCGCGGTCTGCGCAGAGACCTGTTCCCCCACAAGTAACGCATTCTGCAGTTCTTCGCCGGTTAAATCTGGGGTGGTGTTGCGTTTTAATGATCGTAGCATGATGCAGCCGTTGGCCGCCCATTTCACAATCAGTGCAAGGAAGGTAAAAAAATTGTTTTAAAAAGGAAGGAAGGAGAAAGCAACAAATTTCTCGATTCTTAAAAGAGCGCGCTGGCTAACGAGAAGGCATCGTTGGAAAACATGGCAGTTTTTTGCTAAAAATAGTCAGCCTTTAAGCACATGGATGGAAATATCATCACGTTTTCTATCTACATGTACATCATCTGCATTCATTAATTGACAACGCTTTCGCATCAAGAAAAAAAAAATGATGTGATGGAAAAAGCATCTGCTGTGTTGAGACTGAGCAGAGCTTAAGCAAGAAGGTGGAATTCAGTTAACGACAAGAAATGGAGGCTTTGTTAGTCTCTCGTGGCATCTCGTGACAGAACGAGTCAACAGGGCTTAACGCTTATGCATTGAAATTCAATTTGCTCGCTATACTATTTGTGTTCACTTTGCTCTAATATCAGGTAACTGTCAAGGTCTAAGGGCAATTTGTGTGGTTGAAAAAGAAGAAGGTATTCAAAAGACTACCATATTAAAATACGCAGTCGGTTGAGCTGGGTTGCGGATTCTGCGGAAAGAACCGCTTCCGTTCCGTTTCCACCGCACTTGACGTTTATCTAATCAGTCATGGAGCCTACGGAAACGAGGAGTATTTCTGACGTGGACAAAAAAGTGGGAAATTTACGGAGAAATAAAATTTCTGTGGTCAGTCAGGGAGGCGTCCATGTGGAAATGCACGATTACATGCCTTCCTCCACAGTAACCAAGGTACGCAAAAAAGAAAATTAAGCTTAAGAAGCCTAGATTGCTAATTAGTAAATAAGTGTAAGCTTCTCTTAAGTCCTCTAAAGAGATGAGCTTATGTTAGCGGGTTTGGGGCATGGGGTGGGGGGGTGGCGGACTTTCAGATTTTGGCCAAAAGGCTATACACGCTGCTGTGAGGGGAGGTATGGTATTTAGGGGTTCTTTAGGCAGTTTAGAGTGAAATGGAGTATAGAAATCAGAAGATTTTTGTTTAGAAGAGTAGTGGCTTGAATTGTTGACTATTGTGTCACTCTTGATTTAATAGCCGGTAGTGACGTTTTGGGTTCTAAAAGTTAAGAATAGGTTTCCCTTGGGGGCTCCCATATAAAAGTGACGGGGATGCTTGTCATTTCGCTTAGGGGTGGAAATTGCAGATTTTGGTCTCACTTAGGGAAATCATGACGGAAGGCCAATTCTGAGGGTAATGCATAGATAAAATATCCATATGAAATGGCAAATGCCTCTACAGCTTTGTTGGAGAATGGTCTCCTTCACAGGTCAAATAAAGCCTGAGCCGTGCCCAGATTTCCAAAACAGATTTGGATAGTCACAGTAGTGTTGAGGAATGTCACAGTTGGTCAAATTAGACTAAGGTTTCCAGGGTTACTAGAGGCACACATCCCCACTAAAAATCATAGAGTACCCCCCCTTACGATTAAAAACACAATGGGACTGCCCACTGTGATCCTAATATTTTTGTCCCCCCAGTATTTTCAGGTGGGAAGATCCAGGTATTTTGACTTGAAATCCTAAAACAAATTTTTCTTGTGGTGTGAGAGTGTTTGTATTTCATGTTTTTCTAGAAAAAATCTGCAGGGGTTTAAGTTTCAATTACTGGTAGCAAGAGTACCTGTCATAATGTATTGGTTACTTCACCCAGTAAATTTTTCTAAATCTTATTAAGTTTCCCCTAAATTAGAAGAAAATTAATATTCTTTCAGACCTTGTTGATACAGTTAGGAGTGGTTTTCCTACAGGTCACATGTGTTTTAACAATTAAGACAACTTCTACTTGGATCTAAAATTTACTGTCAGGTTGCAGACTTATGTCACATGCATGTATACTGTTACTGTCTAGCAGGCCTTGGCAGATCTGGCGGCACTTTGTCAAGGGTGGAAAAAGTTTCAGATGAAAAACATTATTACCTCCATCAATTAGCCAATATTTTCCTTCGTTGCTGGTGGTTGAACTACTGCATGTATGGTAGCTTTTACATCATGGGTATATTTAGGAGTTTTCAAGATTTTGGAAAAATCAAGAAAAGCCTCCTTTTTTTGATCTGATGAAGATGTAAATGTTATGCTTCAGCTCTTATATGTGGTTCTGAGAATACTTGCCCACTTTTCAACTAAAAAAGAATTCGATATCTTCCAGCCTAAAACAAGAAAACACAGACTTAACCCTTTAAGCCCCAATATCCACATACAAATTCTCCAAACTGATCTCTAAACATTTCCTTTAAGAAATAGTTAAGAGAATTTGATAAAACATCAAAGTATTTTCCCTTATATAGGTGATCATTTTATTAATTCTCATAACCTCGTCTCATGACAATGTATGGATATTGTTAGGAGAAAATTGCTGTTAGTCTCTATTGGGACTTAAAGGGTTAAGCAAGGGTTTTAGCTCATGCTTTCCTTGAGTCACCTATACTGATCACCTGAAAAATGTATTGCATACATGTGTATTTTGCTGCTCATAATCGGATATCCTTTTAGTTAAATCAGTAGTAATTAAATCAAGATAATTGTGTAGAGTGCTCAGCAAGTTTAATACTCAACTATAATCTCTTGTTTACAAATGCAAGATAAAAACCATATATATTAGATCAAAACTGGGACACACAATTAAACATTATTAGGAAAAACATTAAATAGAGGGACTTGTTTCTCTCTGTCTAATCCCTTGAGAGCTTGCCTGGGCCAAAACAAAATAACTAATTTTCAAGAAATGAATGAAGAAAATTTAACTTTATTAGCTACATCATTGTTGGCAGATGTAAGAATAAACGTGATTGACAGAACAAGGTTGGAAAGTTATTACAGACCATGAATTTATATGCTTTTGATTAATTAAACTCCAAGTTTTCACCTTTTGTACACATGTTCAAGATATATGATTCTTATGTCAACAGATAGTTAATTAGTTTACAGCAGGTTTAACATAATATTAATGAGATTAACTTTTTATGTCTGAGCCATTGTTGCAGCTGCCAGTTATTTTTTGGTGAAATTCAATGAGAGCCTGCTGCAAGCATCAAATATGAAACACACCATGGACACTCCCTAAAAACATAGGATTCCAATAAAAACAATCAAGAGGGCTTTGTAATAAGGAATTAACACCACAAATGTGCACAAATTGGTAATACATATTGCATAAGCTGTCACTAGCTAATATGCTGCAAATCATAGTTGGAACCCAGGCTAGGAGCTGTCTGTGTGTGTTTGTGGGAGAAGTGGGGTGTATTGCCTTGCATGATCAAGAATATACAGCCCACAGTTCTCCAGAAAATCTTAAAAGTAGGCTAGAAGAGGAAAAATTTAAGAACGTGGCAATAGAGTCGATTGCAGGGTAGAAGTGCCTTTCACTTTACTGTTAGCCATGTTTGGGAAGTAGAGAGAAGTTCCCCTCAGGGAAAATTAAATTTGGGGACCCTAAAAAAGGCATTTTAGTCCTGTTAGTAAGATTAAATTCTGACTTTCAAGCAAGATGGCCTTGAAATAGTGACAGAAGACAGTCAAATAAAACGGCGACAAACAACATAAAGATGGACTGTAACTGTGGCATTACTTGGACAAGCTGGCTTCCTGCTCATTACATGAAACAAAGAGTATTGATATTCATGCTAATTAAGGGCTCTCCCCTTCTCCTCCCAACTAAAAGGACCACACTTGAAGTCAACCTTGGGTATGTTACAATTTGCAGGATGCCTTTACCAAAAGTGAATCACAGCGGGATTTGCTGATTGAGTCATCAATCCGTGATCGTGACAAGGAGGCTGAGCGCCACAGAAGGAGAAGGCTCATCTTCATTTTCTGTATAGCAGTTGTCACTACAGTCTTTATAGTTCTGGCAGCAGTTATTCCCTTCTTGCTTGGTAACAAAGCTTTTTTTCCAATTCCTAATTAGGTCAAAACTCATTCCCGGGCTCTCTTTCCTTGCCTGGGGCAGTGAAAGAAGAGAGAGCCCTGAGAATGAGTTTGTTAGTTAAGTACATTTCTTAGGTGGCAAAAGAATTAAATCTTAGACTAAAATAATAGTAGGATCTGCAAACCAAAAATAAGTGATTGGAAGGCTATAGCTAGATGCTTGAAATCACCTGTTAAGGGACCTGTCATTTATTAGAGGTGGGGGGAGGTGGGGGGCAGAAGCTGGTGCAATTTTTTTTCGCGGGATTTTTTTTTTCGGGCTCTCCCACAATTTCCTGCAGAAAAAACTGTAACCCTCCCCCTTGTATGGCCCAAAAAAGTTATGACCTTCCCCATGTTAAAAGATATGACAGGGATTATTAAATAAGATCAACTTTTACCTTGTGCAGTTCATAGCAGAAACCGTGTTGCTTTCCTCCCTGATCTTGTAAAGGAAGTAACGCGAGAGGAATTGTCATAATGGTTCTCATCACTCCCTCCTCTTCCTTAAGGCTTGAAGAACAAATTTCTGCCAATACAAAGTCCCCCTCCTCTACCAACTCTTTGTCACCATCAAACTGTTCCTGTTGCATTGCCGAGTTTGTTAAATTGCTGATTATAATTATGTCTTTGCACTTCAATCATTATTTATCCCACAGCTTCTCTTGTTTTACACAGATAAGCATATCTCTTGGCAGTGAGGCTGTGTTTTCTTTAGCAGTGACAAGTTTTTCCAGCAATTCATTGGCCAATGTTTCTTCAGATTCTTTGGTCTTTTCTTTATCCTCTGTTTAAATTCTCATGATTTCCTCAAGTTGATTCTTGACAAGCCACACAAGTTTCTCATTCTCATAGCAGTAAATGTTTGTAGCCAGTTTGGGGAGTAGCACAGATCACATCTTTCATTGCATTAAAAGACCACTTTTTATGCAGCAGCTGACGTAAATGTAGGGTTGTTGGGTTGTTCAGGTTGATCATTATTAAAGTTCAAAATGCTTACTGTGCAAGGGACTTATTTGTTTAATAGAATATTAATTATTTGTTTATTATTTTATTATTAACATAAGCTCTATAGTTTCTTTTAGGCCTCCTCGAACAGCATCTTTAAGTAATGTAATTTTGTGGCAAATAAATAAAAATACCTAAATACCTAAATTATTTTATTTTTATTTAAGTGAACAGCAATGTTCGCAAAAAGTGGTACAGCCCTCCCTAAAGCCCAGCTTAAATTTTTGGTGACCCCCCCCTACATATAATTTAATGACAACCCCCCCCCCTTTGCACCAGCCCCCCCCCCCCTCTAATAAATGACAGGACCCTAAGTGTGAATTATTAATACATGTTGCATACATTTTTGCCATTTATAAAACATTTTTTTGACATACCCATATTTCTTGAAGAAATATGTTAATAAATTTCTTTCCTTTTTTCAATTAGCTATATTGTTCAGTATTGGATCCAAACCTTCCGATGGGGTGGGGGGGGGGCAGGGGTGGTTATCCAGACCCTGATTGGCTTTTCGGCTGTTAATTTTTTTTCTTAATAATAAAAATGCAAAAAAAGAATAATAATAAAAATTAAGTTTTAACACAAAGCTTGTTTAATGCATTCAGGATCAAGGAAGTCAGACAGTGATGTCAAAGATGATGCAGGTTTAAGCAGAGCAGCAACTGGAGAGCAGCTTAAGTGTGAGCGGTTGTCACGAGTTCTGGAAAATGGATACCTGGTCTGTGATGGGATGGACATTAACTCAACCTGCTGGACAAGATGTATTGAAGGCTACGAGAAAGAAAATCCTCAGACTGGAAGTTACATATGTCTGGAGAATGGAGAATGGGAAGGAGAGGGAGCAACATGTGTTCGAAAAGACTGTGGATCCCTTGATCAGGTAATAGTGAGCTTAAGCAATGAAAACACTTACGTCCTGGACATCATGAATAGCAACCGGAAGTTTGATATCTCACTTGCTGGAACACTGTCGTCTCCCACAACAAATCTGAATGCCTTTGTTTTAACTAGAGCTTTACAAATTTGTCAAGTCAGAGCACTGAAAGAGAGAAAATATCTACTTCGGTTGCCATTTTTGATGTCCGGGATGTCAACACTCTCGCTGCTTAATGCCCCTAAGAAAAGATTAGGTCTATCTTGTACATCCCAATATCCACACAAAAATTGTCTGGACTTACAGTAGCTCTATACATTTCCTAACAGAGTTACTTGGTAGAGTTTGATAAAAGATCAAAGTATTTACCTTTGGTGATCATTTTATGAATTCCCACAACCTTTTCTCTTGATGATGTATTGTTTTTGTTGGGAGAAAATTGATGTTGGTCATGTGCACTCTTGGGACCTAAAGGGTTAAATTGTTTGGGGTCTAAAGGTGGACAATCGATCATATAACTTCTTCTCACTTGAATATTAATTTATACGTAATTATTTTACTAGGAATGGATTTGCTGGATAAAATGACAAAAAAAAGGATCAAATCTTTAATTGGGCAATGTTGTTCTTCACATAATTTCCTTTTAGTGTTCTGAAGAATCCTGTTTGAGTGCAAGGGAGTGTAAGCATCAAAATCTCTGGACTTCATAAGAATAAGGTTTTCCTTATTTCATCTGGTTTGACTGTAAAAGGACACTGTTATACATTAATACAGTTTCAAGCCAAGGGCCACAGTTATTGACAAGTCATACAAGACTTCTTATGTTGTTCATGCACTTCACTATTGAATTTAAACCTGTGAAAATGCAGAGAAAAATATGTGAAATACCCTGTGACAACAAAACACCCTGTGAAAAATGTGAATTTTGCACAGTCAGTAAATTTGAGAAAATTTTCAAAATTTAGGACCTTGTGAAAAAAAAACTGTGACTAAAATAAACCTGTCAAAAACCCTGTGAAAAAACCTATGATCAAGCCTGCAAACCTTTTAAAGAAGATTTACATGTATAAATAAGGAGTGACATGACAGCTGAGTCTGATTTGTTAAGTAATTCACTGTTTTTTTAGGTGCGTAATTCATTACAGACCTGCACTGGTACAAAATACAGGGACAGCTGTGTTGTAAACTGTGTTGAAGGATATGAAAAGAGAAATCCTTTAACTGGTGAATATCTCTGTCTGGAGAGTGGACAGTGGATTGGAAAGGAGACATTTTGTGATCCTAAAGACTGTGGGTCCCCTCATAAGGTGTGTTATGCTGTATAAGCACGGTTCTCCAGAACATTTAGAGAAGGAGGAGAAATAATTTAAGTTCCAGTAGTATTCAAATTTGTCAAACTTCAGGGCCCATTGCTTTCAAGTGCTTCCTGTGTAGCAGTAGGTTATGAAGTGGGAAAATTTCTGTCAATAATAATTTGATGACTTAAAATTATTTTAAGTTGTATAAGTAAAAGAATATTGCTGACCCTTGTACAGATTAAATTCAAGCATTTTTAAAAATATGAAATGTGAATTTTGAAAAATTTCCACGTGACTGCACAAACTGATAGTGTCAGTGCAAACTAAAGTCATGCAGGATTCCGTTGATGTATTTCAAGACAAATTATATATTGAAAGGCAGTTTTAGTCTGAGACTATGATAAATGACTTTGATCGAGGTTTCTGTATGTTACAGTTACTGCTAAGAAATTAAACAACTTTTTCTTGATTGGTAAAACGTGTCAGTGATGCTTTTTCTGAGAGCCCGCTTGATGTATGGACACCATGACATGTCTCGTCCATGTCTGTCTTAACCAAGTTTCACTATATTAACTGTTTATAAGACTTATGATTATCATTTTCTAATTCTGTTTAAGGTGTTAATACCTGGTGCGTTTGAAAACTGCACAGGGACAAAATTGAGCGACACTTGTGAAGTGAGGTGCCACAAGAATTTTGAGAGAATTATACCTTATATTCAATGTGGTTTGAATGGTACTTGGAGCAACATTGCCAGAGGCAAGTACCCATACCTTGTCAACCATAAAAACTGATATCCACATTCAAAAGCTAAATGAATATAAATTTTTTTATTATTAATTATTAATTAATACAGTTAAGCCTCTCTGTGTGACCTCATCTCATAAGAGACCACCTCCCATGAGCAACCATCTATACAAATTAAAACACCACCAAAGTTTTCCCACTCAAAGCCCAGTATAGTTAGAACCTCTCGTAAACGATCACCTCAATCTTGTAAGCGACTGCAACTAATTTTTGGGCAGGCAGATTTATAATAATTCATTGTTTTTGAAATCAACTGCTTGTAAGTATCACGGTCCGACCTTTATGTTCCCTGTGTGTACTACACTACTCAGATTATGCAAAGAACTTTCAGTGAAACATGGAGCTGCACAAACTTAGAAATTGGGTGCCATCAATTCTCTTCCAAAAAGTAGACGTATCAGAATCACCTATTGGAATGGACCCCCTGTGGACCAATTCTTGTGAGTGACTGTTTCCCTTAAGTGACCACTAACTCTTTACATTTTGGGTGGTCCCTTATGGGAGGTTCGACTGTAGTTTGCAAACAATCAGAAAAATAGGAATGTTCACATGTAAGATATGGCAGTTGCTTATTAAATGATCTCTTAATTCAATGCTCTCATTGACGGATTTACAACTGTCAGAAGCAAGTGGGCACAATATATACTTGGAGTCTTG